CGTCGAACCATGGCCCGTGATTCCATTTGGTGCTGGGAATTAATCTTTTCTCTCATTGCCAAGCAACACTTCTTTCTCTTCCCAAACTGAGAACCGCCGAGTATCCTCGTCCTTTGCTTCTCCTGAACTGAATCATAATCGATACCCTATAATTTCATGTTGCTTGTATTTTTCATTCATGCATCCTGATATGAGTAAGTTTAAGCTGCTTCATAATCATCTCATTAAAGTCGCTATTCAATTTTTTCTGCTTCAATCAGCCAAGAAAGAATAGATTAGCAGATGTTTCAATCATTTTAATTGGTATTTTCTCCTTCATACCAAGGTTAGTTGAATCTTGCACGAGTCATAAATCTATAGACTTTATCAGGTGATTGAGTCATAATACTTAACATGATGTCTATGAGTAAAGCATTACTTTGGTGCAAGGTTTGAGAGTGGTGCATTTCGATTTGAGAGTGATGATTGAGCCATATGTCTATCATTTGTTGTTGCATGCTATCCTTTGCCATACTGATCCTGAGAGTTATTCTCTGTTTCTCTCATCATTTGGCAATTGATGGCAGGCTTTCCTACAGTCTGCAAATGGGGTTTTTTGTTTTCTGGTTTGGGCCTATGATGCAAAGCAACTCATAGTGGGTGTACCACTGTTGAGCTGGGGATGCTTCTTATATATTGGCTACCTCATGAGTCATTTTGATGTGGTTTATTCCATTTTGCTTAAGTTGCTTGTCACACAAATACTACTCTAATTTTTCATGAACTCCGGCATTGATTTCTTAGTTCAAAGATGCGTCTCCACTTCTTGTGACAGCGCCAATGCTGAACATTTAGCATGAGCCCTGCATTTTGATTCGTTCTCTTCTATCGGCTTTGTTTCATTTACCTAGATACACTCTTTTTAATCCAATCACTGCTCAAATTTTTATGAGTATAAAATATGTTTATTTTGATGTTCATTTTAAGTCATTTCTAATGGGGAATCCAAGAGAGTTTAGAGCAAGTGTCACTTGAGAACGTGTGAAAGGAAGATAATTTGTGCTGAGATAGTTGATGAAACGAATGAGAAAATCCGATTGAGTCGGGATAGATCAAGGGTGGTTCAAGATAGGCAAAAAATAATATGATGTTAAGCATTGACCACTGGAATTTGAGGTCGACGAATTTACTTTTTTGAAGGTCGGACCTATAGAAAATATTAAACATTTGAAAATTTTGGGATGTTGTTGAGCTCACAATATATTGGCCCTTGTGAGGTTCTGGAGATGATCCAAAAAGTGTCTTATATATTTGTCTTACCAGCGCATATGTATGAAATACATAATGTACTTCATAACTCTTTGCTTCAGAAAAACATTGTTGATGAGGCTACTGAGCTTATCACGGACCCTATAAAGATTCAACTTGATCTGACCTTTGTAGAACCAGAAAGGGTCATAGATTATGATGTGAAACAACTCCAAAATTGAAAGATTTTGTTTGTCCATGTATTGTTAAAGCATGGAACATAATGATCTGTCGCTTGGATGAATGAATCAAAGATGAGATAATAAATATGCATCTATTCAATTAAGGTATGATTAATATTCTTGTATATGTAAATTACAGGGATGAAAATTCATAAGGAGAGGAAATTAAACATAATTAAAAAATTTAATCTGGATAAAAAAAAAGAAATTACCTTTTTATAACAACTGCAATACAAGTGTCATTTGAAAGTCCAATATTGCCCCCGAGAGCCTTTAACTGAGAGCTCTCATGTCCCGTTCGACTGCTCCACAAAAATAAACAGCTAGCAAGAGATAGGGAGAGAAGGCGAGAGCGACAGAGAGGGAAGGGAAAAAGCGACAATTCCGTGGATGTACCTTCATGCAGGCAAGTCGAATAGCTCAGGAAGCATTCAAGAGGCTCAAGCTAAGCAAGTGAGCCACATGTGAGGGAGGAAAGAGAAGGATGAAGTGAGGAAAGGGAGACTCCGCGACAGAATTTACGATGGTGAGAGCGACGAGAGCAAAGAGAGCTTTCATGCAACTGTATAGCTTGGACAACTATGAAATTGGAGTTGTGTTCGAGGGAGGAAGAGGGTAGATCAAGCAACACATCCTGATTTGAATGATGATTCTTGCATTATAGAGAAGCTTGAGCAGCTCACAAGAGTTTTTTAGTGCGGGAGACGCTACACCAAGCACCTTCATGCTCTGAGAGTATCAATCGACTAAGCAGAGAGAGAAGAAGTGGGGTATAGTTAGGGCTGTCAAAAAAGCTCGTTGTTCGCGAACAGTTCGTGTTCGGTTCGTCAATGAGTTCGTGTTCGATTCGTTCGATAAGTAAACGAGATAAACACGAACAAATTTTTTTCGTTCGGTTAGTTAAACGAACCAAACACGAACAGTGATGCGTTCGTTCGTGTTCGAATCGTTATTGTTTGAAATATAAAATAATATAAAATAATTATATATAAAAAATTTATTATATTTTAAAACATTAAATTTTATAAATTATAATATATAATAAAATAATAATAATAATATATTAATATACTATAGTAGTAATATACTAATATAGATATTGTATATTTATATAATATAAGTTATATAATTAATATATAATATTATTTTTATATATTAATATTAGGGATGTCAAACTGGCTCGTCGTTCGCGAACAGCTCGTGTTCGGTTCGTGTTCGGCTCGTTCGTTAAGAAACGAACACGAGCTTATTTCAAACAAACTAAATTTTAAACGAACCGAACACAAACACAAACTTTGGTCGTTCGTGTTCGGTTCGTTTACACCCCTAGGTATAGTCTTTTGGCAAGAAATCAGAAACAAAAGCTTAGTTTTTTGTTATTATTCTTCTTCCTAATGTTAAGAAATTTATTCTTAGCTATTTTGGATTGAATTCCAGAAACCCCAATTTTTGAAATGTTTTTTGTAATTATTTTAGAGAATTCACATGTATGAATCTCCATGCAGCAATAAATGTTTATTTTGTACGAGCTAAATTGTTCAGAAAAAAATTTAGTTAAAAACTAAGAAATTTTCGTTTATTTTTAAGCTCGAGCATGCCAAAAAAAAATAGATTGACCATTAATAAAAATTTGGAAGTTGAATTGATTTTATTATAAATTATTATAAAATGTATTAACCTAAATTAATGAAGAGATATTGTTAAATCACTTATATGAAAATTTTATTTTTGAATAATCATTTATACATGCAATTATTATGGAAATTAAATGCAAGTGATAATGTCTTAAGTATTTATGTTAGAATTCAAATGAAATAAAGACAAGAAAAATAGAAAGTAAATTTAATTTGTTATTATATGTGCACCAAAGGACTAATTTGACCAAGGAAAAGGAAAACATATAGTACTAAACAGGTGCATAAATATATTTTTTATAATTATTTGCTTTATTTATGAGATCAATTACACATATTTTTACTACTATTAGCACTTTCTTTTAAAAGTGAATGTCTCGTGTTAAATAAAAAATAAAATAAATATGATATATGCATATATACATGTGGAGTTATCGTGCACATAAAATGAAAATTAAAATGAAAATGTTTGGCTATCTATTTTGTGGGATCTGGAATATGTTAAATGTGTGTTTTTAGTACACATTTAGAATGTGACTCCCACTGACAGATATTATAATTTAAATAAATAAAAGTAACCAAAAAATTAATTTTTTTAATGTCTCAATTTTTCTACTTAAGGACTTTTCATAAAATATTTATAAAATATGAACTATTATAACTTAGAACTATTTTGCTCATTGAGTAGTTTAACTCATACCTCCAATTACTAATGTTTTACAGGAAAACTTTCTTTATAGTTTATGGATCCTAAAAAGTATGTTTACAGGCGTCGAGGAGCACAAGGAGATAGGTACAGTATTTCAGTTTTACTTTTCTTTCAATTGTAAAATTTTAAACGTGAACGGATATTTGTAAATTAAAGTTTTGTAAAATAGAATGACTCTTTTATGTGTGGATAATTTTGTCTAATAAATGAAAATATTTAGATAGTTCTCCCTTCATCCGGCCTTCCATTCCCACATTGGTATTTCAAACTCCTAGGCAGGATCGTGATAAGCAGTAGCCCTAGAAAGATATTACATTAAAGTACTATGCCTGAGCATACATTCTGGTCAATCATTTTTACATTGGTACTAAAGAGCTTTGTGAATGAAGGTTCATTTAGTCATTATCTCGCATTATTAAGTAAAATAGAAATTATGTTGAGCAACTTCTAAGACAAGTATATCCCTACACTACTCAATTTCTTTTAACTTTTCCCCCTCCAATATTTGTCTTAATTTTCTAAGTCATTATTTTGACCTTTAGCACATCCAACCAGCCCCGTTCCCCGCAATCCACCATGCTAGCCATTCTTCTATTAGAATGAAGCAGGTCAAACTGTCAAAAAGGTGAAATTAGAAGAAGGGAATGGAAATTTGGAGAGTTTCGATGAGATAAGAGACAATAGGAGGAAGTGTTATGTAGTGGTCCCATCTGGAATCTCCACATATCATAAGTAAACTGAAAAAGTTTCAACAAAAAGCATAGAAAGAGACTATTATCCCTCATATTTCCTCTTTTCCTGAAGGCATTTTAACTATTTAAACATTGACTACAAAGTCCAATAAGCCTTACACAAGAACTAAACAAACTAATAAAGACGACAGGAAACTAGAAAAAATAGCAAATAAAATGTACGATGCGTATAGATCTTGTAACTGCACAAATTGTGTGATATTTCTTGCCATCACTTAGAAACCGGTAATTATGTTACCTTGGTTCCAAAGTCAGACAAAACCACTTCCAAAGAAATAGTTGGACACCAATAATAAGCATTTATTGACACAAAAGTATATCTTATCATAAAAAATACTTTTCTGAAGATTTACAACAGGTTACTCCATATAGCTATAGATTGTCAAAAGTATGAAAATCTAACACTCCATTATAACACTCAGATATATAAAATTACCTTGTTTTTCTCGGCTAATGTCAACACACTAAGTTGCTTCAACTTGCGAACTTGATCGGTAAGTAAAGCTGGAAGATGATTAGCATTATCTGAAAGAAAAATTCTCCAAATTATCAAAACATCTCCCAAGCCAAAGAATCAACAAGGGCTAAATATTTCTAGCAATAGTGCTTCATCAGCAAAAGAACATCTAAATAGTAGATTAAAAGACGATGCGATTTTAAAGAAAATGTTTCACCAAGGCAGTTTTTGGAATGAAGGAATGCGAAGAAAATCAAATGAAATACAAACAATTTGCAAGTTGATTATGAATATATAGTCATTGATTTGAATTTTAAACATTTATTTAATCTCCTTCCACTGAAGCTCCCTACATCCTAACACCCCCTAAATGATTTTAGAAAGTGATTTGCATACATAATTCTAAATAAAATATATAAAATGGTAGTAAGCATCTTCGGTTGAGATGTATGAAATTAAAATTTAGGTTTATTTGCTATAATGTCTTCATTGATAAAATATTATGTTATCTATAATAAGCAGTTTTCCTCTAATGGTATCACGGTGAAATACTTTACATAGAGCATCCGTAGTAAAGATTAGGGTAATCAAAATAATAGCCAAATTGGATGCTGCATAACCTATCTCAACCCTGATTGGTTGAAAGTAAAAAAGACCAAAATATTCAGCTTGACCAACATCAATAATGACATTCTTTTGAAGTAAAATGACACTAAACCAAACCACAACACCATAATATTAAATTCTGACTAAATAATCTTGAAACATACAGACACTTAACATCAGTGGCACATAACATATGGCAGCTAAAAGGTGCACCAAGTGTTAGATCAAGAAATTAAGTAATATACTTTAGCAATATGTACAAAAATACATATACATGTATGTACACATGGATAAATATCATTAGCTTGGTTCTTGGTTTGCTCGCATATTCAAATTAAAAATACAGCCCAATCTTCATTTGTGAATGGTGCTCATCAGCATACATTTAATATAGGAAGGCATGAAAATTATTTGATGATACATGGATGTCACTCGAGTCATCATAATACACATCAAGGTTCAGAATATAATATAATTTTTTTTACCCTCTCTTTTATGAAATTTCTGATGCTTGCATACAACCAATACATAAACCTACAATAAAATATTATATCATTACGCTTAAATTTATTGCAGCATCTTCATTTGAGATGTAGGAGTCAAAATTATGATTTTACCCAATAATGAAAACATGGGGAAGCGGTCCAACAAATCCTTTTATCCAAAATTCCAACACATAAACCCACCTCAGCACAGCAGACAGTTGTACTTATCCTGCATCTAATCAACTCCAAGCCTTTACCATAAGCAGATGTCTTAACCATAGAAAAGTGTTCCATGAGTAAAAGAAATAGAAGAAAACCCTCCATAAAAAGTTGTTGAAATAAGGCATTATTCCTTTCGCCTTCCTTTTTGACCATCCCTTGCCAAAACTTTGACCATTGAACTAGAATTCTAACACAAAACTACCTAAAATATAGTACTTCACTGTATGGAAACCCTATTATACATATTGACAATAAATAACTCACAATTACCCTGAGCAAAGAAAAACAACAACAATAACAACAAGCCTTTATCCCATCAAGTGGAGTCGGTTACATGAATCCTTTTTCCCTCATTGAATCCTATTGAGTGTCATATTTTCATTTAATCTGAGCAAAGAAAAATTTTCAGAAATCCGTATTAAACTTGCGTAAGAAGGGTATAACACTTTATATATCAATTTGCATATTTTCAACAAATTGTATAGATCAGTTATCAAATTGCTTTTATTTTTCATGAATTAAGCTCTTTACAGCTCAAAAATAGTGAATTACTCTATAGTGAAAATTTGCAATTCCAAACTTTTATGACAACCTACAAGTACAAACTGTTTGATGCAAGCACCGCGTAGAGGAGATATTAGTCGTTATGTCAAAGAGTTTATTATAATTATTCTATTCAGTTACGGACCATGAAATCCATAAGAACAAAACTTCTTAATAGATATTCATGCTTAAAAAGTTAACAGTAAGAGTATGCAGGTTTAATCTGGCAGAATCCTTGGGCAACTACATTACTGAAGCAGTCAAATTTTTAAACTTCCACAGAAAGTAGAATATGAAGAATATATCATCAATGACTTGATGACAAAAAAAAACGGGGATTATCCTTGGCATATCACAAATCACTTAGCAGGAGAATAATATTTTAAGAAGAAAATACACCAAAAGAGCAGAAACTCACTCTTGTAATCAGTCCAAGTACCATAGGCAAACAATCGAAGCAAGTCAAGAGAACTGGAATATTGAGTCCCGTCAAGCTACATTGGAATATAACACATCTTAGATGTCTATTCTAATTCAATATAATTATAAAATGACCATCATATACAAGAGGTTAAACCAACCCCACTCACAGAAATGCGGAAACACAAATGCTCCGAATGGAAAACCAAGAAGACAGAACGATAGATGATAAAATAACATGGTTCAAGGCATCACCGAGGAAAGGTTGGGGACGGAGAGAATCTCAGAGAACGCGAACAGCGAAGGATGCGAGGTCGCCTCGATTAAAAGAGTGGCGAGGGACGCCCCTTCAAGATCTTCCGCCTGCCTCACGAAGTGCTCAATGACCTCCGCCTGTTGCTGCTCAATATCCATGGTCAGATGCCGTTCCTTCGATCACCCAGCTTCTGTGAAGTGATTTCTTACCGACACGTAAAAAATTTCGATTCGTTGAGTGATATGTGGAAAACGAGAGCGAACGGGATGGATTATATCGTCCGTAGAGGAAGAAAGCAAGAATAATCGAGTTAGGGTTTTGCAGCGACGAGCTTTGGAATGAAGGAACTTCCGCCGGAGAGGTTCAGGGCTGTTTGGCAACTTCAGTGGTGTTTAACTAAGAGTGAATTTGCCCAATTTTGCAAATCCAAATTTAATAAATTTCGAGGAAATTAAATAAAAATTATTTGTCATTATATATATTAAATTTAGTTTAATCCTCTAAAATTTTTTGATAATTCATCTAGGATTTAAATATATCAGCTCTCTTTAATATATATTGTTTATCATTTATAACTATTGATGTGTGTCGGATCATTCATAATGACTTAGCAGTTTCGGACCAAGCTCCAACATATACACAAATAATAGAAAAGTAAACACGAAGATATGCTTTGATTTTTTACTTGAAAACCTTTAAAAGAGAAAAAAATTAGGGGGGCCTAGCCTAGTCTAAATAACATGTAATTGTAACATGTAATTGTAAGTACATAGGGATAAATGAAGAAAGAGGGAGTTGCGAAGTTTGTTATCGTAAATGTACAACAATATTTCATCAATAATAGTCATATTCTAAATATAATAAATGTAGTTCTCGATGATAGTGGTTGCAAGGGCCGAAGTTAGTTGCTATGAAGACAATAACATGCCATGAATGTTATGGGCAGTGGATGTAGCATCAGCTTGTCGTAGATATCGTAGTTGAATGTTGTAATATTAGTTGCATGTGTGGTTCATAAATGACTGCTTTAGAAGTGTTGTTTAGCCACAAAAGTTGTAGTAGAGATTTGCGGGAGTTGTGAGCCACGTAAGCTGTAGTGGTGAGCTTTAATAACATCTATAGGGCGCATGTGGAATCGAGAGTTGCATGAGCTATGGGTCATGTAGACTGTAGTGGTGAGTTGCAATGACGTTCGTAAGTCATAAAGGCCAGAGTTTAGAGTGACATGAGTTGTGAGCCACATAGGTCGTAGTTTGTCGCATAGGCCATTGTGGGGAGTTGTAATAGCGAATATAAGTCACAGGGGCCAGAGTTGAGAGTTGCATGAGTTATGAGTCATGTAAGTCGTAGTTCTTCACATAGGTTATAGTGGGAAGTTGTTATAACATATGTAGACTGAAAAAGCCAAAGTTTAGATTTGCATACGTTGTGGGTCATGTAGGTTATAGTTCCTCACATAGGTCGTAGTGGTAAATTGTAATAACGTTTGTAAGCTGTAAAGATCAAAATTGAGAGCGACATGAGCCATAAGCCATGTAGGTCATAGTTTGTCACATTGATTGTAGTGGTGAAATGTAATGATGCATGTAGGTCGCAAATGCCTGAGTTTATAGCTGCATAAGTTGTAAGTCATGTGGTTAATAGTTCATCACATAAGCCATGATATGAAGTTGCAATAATGTACGTAGGTCGCAAAAGGTCGGAGTTGAGAATTGCATAAGTTGTGAGCCATGACGGTTGTAGTTCATAACACAAACTGTAGTGGGGAGTTGCAATAACGTATGTACGCCGCATATGCTAAAGCTGAGAATTGCATCAGATGTTAGTCACATAAGTCGTAATTCGTCACATAGGCAATAGTAGAGAGTTGCAATAATGACCGTAGGCCAAAGAGGTCAAGTTGAGAGTTGCATGAGTTGTGAGCCACGTAGGCTATAGTTTGTCATATAGGTCATAACGGGGAGTTGTAATAATGTTCGTAGGTCATAGAGACTGGAGTTGGGAGTTGTGTGAGTTGTGGACAACGTAGGATGTAGTTGGTCACACAAATTATAATTGAGAGCTATAATAAGATAGCTTCACAAGTCTAAAGAAAGTCACTGTATTTTGAGTACAACGATGTTAGCAGTTATCGTAGGGAATTGTAGTCGGATCGTTGATACGACAATATTCATGATCTTGTATTAGGAGTATGTCATTACATTGTATGAGGGGTGCATTGTTATATTGTCTTCGAAGTGTGTTGCTACACCATCTTCTGGGTATGTTACTGCACGACGTTTACGACGATACACATACATCTTCTGGGTATGTTACTCCGCAATGTACGTTGGGATTCCATAGCGCATGTCATGACGTTGCAAGGGTGCAATGAGCGGAGGGCGACCAACGGTGGTCAACAACTACATGAGCAGGAGGCGTTTGATAGACCTTCATTATAGAATAATGGACTTCAGCTCCTTCTCCTTGCGATCTCGCTCAAAGCTCCGGTTTCTGTATACTCTTCATGAAGGGGCTGATGCTCTATTTATAGAGTATAAGAAGGGCCTTCATGCAAATAAGGAAGGAATCCAGACCACTCCATCAGATGAACTAGAAAGATTCGCTCAATTATGAGGTGTTATGCAAATATTTGAGGGCCTTAACAATGCTTAATTGAGTAATGTTGGACTAGTTGGGTTTGCCTTGATTTGACCATAAACTTGAATGATTTAGAAATTATTTGATCTTCCAATTAATAACTCGATGTTTCTAAAATTAATTTAACGGTTTGATCCGGCTTGATCTAACTCTAATTGGAATAATTTGTGTAATCGAGTCCATTTTGTCAAGCCAGACTGTTTGACTGCAAGTTTTCTAAAATCGGAGTTTAGGATGACTTTTATTTTGAGTTTGAGTATTTATTGCACAAAAAATACCTGTACACTAAGGGTCTGTTTGGCGCAGCTGTTGATTATTAATAAGCTGCTGATTAGCAGATTATGCTGATAATCTGATAATCTGCAGATTAGCAGGATAAACTGCTTGTTGTTTGGGGGAGCTTATTCAGATTAGCTTATTTGCAGTTGTTGATGAATAAATGACCATTCTGGCACTGTTTAGTCATGTTGTTTACAACAGAACTATATAGACAAAATAATAAATAAAACATAGGCCGCAAACCATTACAAATCAGTTCAAAAAAATAACATTGACTGTTCACTCTCCAGTGAGTATCAAAAGATATAAAATAAATATAAATATAATTAGATGGTCTTTCATAAAGCAAGCTTCAAAAATTCATCAACCTTCCACTAAAAAACCCACTAACATAAAGCAAAAAGAGACCATCAACCTTCATAAAGCAAGCTTCCAAAATCTAAACCTTCATAAAGCAAAAAGGACCATCTCACTAAAAAAATCACAATTCTTCCACTTCAAAAACCCACTAACATCCACATCACAAAAACTATAATTGAAATTTTTTATCTGATGCATTTAACTGCATTCAACCACCCACCCCAAATTGGATTCAACCAATAATTTTTCACTGCATTTAACTGCATTCACTTCAAATAACATCTACTTCAAAAAAATGCATTCACTAACAACCAATTCAAATAATTGCATTCGACCAATAATTTTTCAATGCACATTTCTCAAAGTAGATAGTAGGGTTAACAAAAATCCAATATGAACAAGGCATACAAAAGGAAATAGCTTTTCCACAATGTAATCATGCATGTTATGGAGTGTTTCAAAGAAATTTTAATCTAACTGAGAAAGTTCAGCACTTTTATCCATGAACCAAAACCAATAATCACTAAAACAAATTTCGCAGAGAAAGAAAAAAAACTCGTGCAATACCATAGGTCATAAGAGGATAACAAACATTGGAGGATACCATGTAATCTATACATGGAAGAAGACCCATGCAATACCATAAGTCGTAAGAGGGATTATCTGCGAAAGTTGTTTCAGGTTTCAGTTCACCACTGAAAGACACACAAAGATCTCGAAGGGAACTGTATCAGGACACAGAAGAGAAGAGAAGGGTAGATGGGATCGAGGGGCGAGAAATGGTATCGCTGCGGGAATTCGATCGCAAGGTAAGGGCAATGATGCGAGAGCGAAGACGGGATCGAGGGGCTCATGGGTAATAAGTTGCGACGAAACGTCGAATGTTGGGTCCTCTCCTTGGCCGAATTAGCTTGGCATTATAACGTAAATGGTAACGCGCGTATCCCAGCTGCATATGTGAACGCAGAAATCAAACAGAGGTTCGACATTTTAAAAATGTCGAACGCCCAAATAAGCTGCATCAAACAGACCCTAAATCTCAAAGGTGCATCCATATACACTTCTTCCTCTAAGTTTTTAATCTATATGAGTAACTTGATGCGGTCACTAGTGTCTCATTCATTCAAAACAAACTTATAAAGTTATCTTAAGATTGTCTTGAGTTCCCAAATTTATTTCTTTCAATTCACCAATAAATGAATTAACATTTTTCTTTACTTTAGGCGGTGGATCCTCAACTGAGGGGTCATTGATGCCCAAAAATATTGTAACACAAGTCAGTTAATCACGCATGTAAACATTTCGATAAAGTAATATGTGGAAACACATCCATGTATTGATAGAACGAGGATAGTGTCAACATATTTATAATGGACAAAGCTCTATTTTACTGAATTGTTAAGTTTAATTTGAAGTGATCGAACTCAAGAGTGAAATCTAACAATCCTAAAAATGAAGTAAACCAAAATAAAAGGAAAAAAGTGTTGAGTTTTTCAGATATGTAAGCTTCATACTCATGGGACATAGGTCAGCTGTGAAGTTTTTCTATGTGACTCACACTCTTGTTGGCAACCAGAGATAAAAGTTTTCTCCTTCTGCCTAAGTTTAGCTTAAAAGAAGAATTAAAAACCCATAAAGTTAAGTTTTGCTTAACTTTATTATGTTTCTCAAAATTCTTCTTATCCCTTATATATGTTACAAATTCTTGCTAGAATATGCCCATTGTACCAGTTTTTTGTGTTTAACCCACTCGTTCTACTACACAATGGGCGGAATGCAGAGTTCCCAAAGGGTTTTTAGCATTCTTATTGCTTCTGATAACAAGTAAATTATGCTATAAAAAAAGGAGAATATGAGAAGTACATAAAACTCAATACAGAGTCAATCGGTCTGCAATACATCGTGGCCCTCTCTGTTCAATACAAATATTTTTGGATCTCTCTTATACATATGCACTCAATCTCACTTTACAAAATCATTAAACTCCTAAAAAAACATGAAAAAGAAAAAGAAACAAGAAGAAATTACACTCTTCCAAGCGAACCCGAGGAAGAAACTCTGAGAGCTCAATGACTTTCCTAAACCCTAGATGCACAACCCCAATGCCAAAAAGTGCT